TATATATATGATATATATATATATAGAGAGAGGTAAAGAGAGAGAAGCAGAGGTTATAAAAAATTATTTTAATAATATTTTCATAATATCTTAATTGTATTTAAATAGAATAGTTAGGAAAGTAAATTTTTTTTAGTTTTTAGTCTTTAAATGATAATGTTAAAAAATTAAAAAGTATATATTTATAGGAATTATTTAAATATTTAATAAATCTTTAAAGTTTATAGATGTAAAATTGTAAAGTTCAATTAAATAGTTTACAAATGTAAATATTTGAAAAAAAAGAATTAGGATATTGGATTTCTTCTGCCCATTTATTTGCCCAGGCTTTCAAAAGACACTACGACTACAAAGAGATAGTACTGAGATTTGATTTTTTTTTTTTTAGTTTGTGATGAAACGAGACAATTTGATTCTCTCATAGCTTTGTTATTTTCTATTGAATTTTGGTGCTTTTCGTATTACAAACTGAAATATTGATCATTGATAGTAACGAACAATTATTATGTCCTCTGATCGGACGTAGAGCTACGTTCGCGTCAAAACATATTGCCACGGCTCTACCTTACGTGCGACCCGACGACTACCGGAGCGGAACCCGGATCTATGTTCGCGATTTTCTCGTATTGCTCGGTATTGCTAGGTATTGCTTTGCAAACGAGAAATCCGCACTATGGAGACAATACCATGCATCCAGTTGTCGATTTTTAACTGGTACAACTCATATTAGCTGGATTTGCCGACAAAACTGATTGAATACCGCAATATTGACCAGACCGAATTGACCACTGCACAAGTTACCATTTACTGAGTTCATACACTAATCTCGTAACTTATGCTCCGTTGGTTAATGCCGAGCAAAAACGTTCTTAGCTCGAAAGAATTTTGGGTATGCCGTTCCGGCTCGGCTAATCCCTGTGTTTTATTTTTGGCCGGTAAGCAAGGCATGACGTCATAGCACTCTTAACGAGCTAAATACGCGTGCGTTGCAGCACGGTTCTAACTGGCGGAATGAAAACGCGTTATTCATTACTACGTGCGCGGCAGAGCGGTAGAGTTGCGTATGTTCACCGGACCAAATTAAAAGTTCGATAGTACAGATATATGTTGTATTATTTTTATTTGGAGTTAGGGGAGATAGAGAAGGAAAAATTTTCAAACACCAGTAAATATATATTAAAGCAAGAAAAAGCACTATAATGAAAGATGAATGACAATTTTGAAGCTGTTAGATTTTGAAGCAATTTAGAGTTTTTAACTTTGAGAATCTCTACGAAAAATAGTTGTTCTTCTAAGTACATCTCTATATGTAGCTTGTTCTCTTCTCGAGGATCCCCGTTTTGGATAAAATTAGATTTATAGATTTAAAGTTTAATATAATAGGTTTAAAATACTTTTTTGATACGACATCGCAAAATCATCTTTATCGGACATGAATCCCGAGGCAAAAACTAGTTTGGAATTCAAAAATTAATTTCGCGGAGCATATGAACTCCGATTTCAGCGAGCTTACAGTCAAACTGAGCGTCTCGGAAAATACGAACCCAACGACACCAGATCAACCCAATACAGCCCAAATGAGTCCGAATCAAGGGTTCAAAGCGCTGCGGAAGGTTCAAACCGCAATTTGAGTTACCAAACGGTCTCCGATTTTAACGAGCTTATACTCGAATCGAACGGCTCGACGAGACGAATCCAATGAGCCAAGATCATCAATTCCGACATCATTAAGGCCTTCAAATGTCCAATGAACGGTGCATGATCAAAGGATTCGATATCGGCCGTCCATTCAAACCACTCCCTGTTCGCCCTTGATCTCACGTCTATTTACGGGCTATGCCACTCCAGAAAAAACTATAAATAGAGCCTCATTCTACACCAAGGGGACTCAAGTGAAAGAGAGAAGAAGAAGAGAAGGAGAAGGAGAAAGGGGAAAAGGAGATTCCTCACCTCCTCGACCACCGCCGCCGGAGCTCTTCCTGCCGCCTGAAGACGCCGGAACTCTGCCGGATTTTCAGGAAAGCCAGGAATTCGCAGAAGAGAGAAGAAGAAGAGGAGAAAGGGGAAAAAGAGTTCCTCACCTCCTCGACCCACCGCCGAAACTCTTCCTGCCGCCTGAAGACGCCGGAACTCTGCCGGATTTTCAAGAAACGCCAGGAATTCGCAGAATTTTGTAAACTTCCTGGGAGAAACAAATTGTATTCTGATTATCCCAACTTGTGGACGAATCACCATCTGTAATCTGCAAAATCACTAGTGGAACATTACAACTGGCGAAGGCCCCGTGGTTTTTCCCTTTTTGGGTTTCCACGTAAAAACCTTGGTGTTCACTCCTCTTTTCTGTTTGTGTGTTAAACTTACGTGCAACGCTTGG